CCTTGTAACTAGGTCTTTAGAAGTTGCCTGTTTGCTTTTGGAAATGATGAAGTACTTCGAAGTAGCTTGCTGACCTAGTCAAGTTTGGTATTTAACTTGGAAGATTGGCAAAAGTGAGTATCTGTTCTGAAAGTGGTATTTCTTTCTAGGTTTCAAGACAGGTTTCAAGGTTAGCTCTTGCATATATGATATTTATTGTGGAAAGCACTTCCAGTGATTCTTCTGCCTAATGAGTGTTGCTTTAAATAGTTCAATTATGTTTTGCCAGCTATGGTTTAAACATTAGTTTTTCTTGCCTTTATGTCGATTATTCCTATTCTCCTGTAAATTTGCTTCTGCCAGATGTCTTTACAGATCTCTCTGGCACGGCAGCCAGACAGATTGAAGTCAAAGATTTCACCTAACATGGTGAAGCTTCTCGGTTGCAGTTAAGATGCTGTGGAAAATTTCCCACGAAATAGGATTGGCCAGTGTTATCTTGATTGGGGTTGTGCAATGGATTCCTTGCTTAATTCTTCAGTTCTCCTTGGAATATTTTTTCACTTAACACTGGGGGAAGGGGATGTGGCTGGTATTTTGATTGAAACCACTTTTTTCAGCACAGTGAAAAAATCATTACATCTGATGATTCAGATTATCCAAAAATGGGAAGGAAAACAGCAGCTGTAAAAAGTAAACTCTTGGACTGGTAAAACAAATTCATCTGGCACTTCAGTGCACTCTAGTGAGTTAGCAGATTGAGTGATTTATACAACCTCATTTATATCAGAACTAGTGATTTGGAAATTAATTAAAGGATGATGGAAGAAGTTAACTTGGAGAGCCCTTTAAATGGCTGTAGCTAGCAGTACTTTCTAGATAACTAGAGAAGCAAATAGTATTTCTGATTGACTTAGCTTATAGTTAAATCAATGTGTAAGTTTAATATCTCTTACTACCGGAGCTTGTTGTGTAGGGTCGTGTTAGGTCTTCTGAGATGGAGAAGTGGCTGTCAAGAAGGGGCAGTCACTGAATACTCTGAGTTGGAAGGGACCCACAGGGATCATGGAGTCCAACTCTCAAGTGAATGGCCCGTATGAAGATCATACCCACGATCATCATGTGTAAACATGATGGAAATGGAAAACACATTATTAGCACGGTGCTCCGACCAACTGAGAGTGCATGAAATGTGGGCAGCCAGAATGTAAGGCTGATTTTGGCCTTAAAGGGGGTGTGCCTGTCGGAAGTCACAGTCCCAGGGATGAGTGACTCTCTTCAGCTAAAGATGCCTTCTGGCCTACGTGATGCTACAAGACACTGACTTCTCTTCCTGAGCTCTTTTTCCTTGTGGACCATGGATGGCTATATGTTTATAATGAACCATGAGTGTAGTGGCTGCACAAAAGTCTATCCTTTCTCTCTCCTGCTGTCATTTCAGTGACTGTCATCCTTTCCAGGGAAATTCCAGGGAGGAAAGAGGAGATTTGGAGCTGATTATCTTATAATAATTGTCTAGTTCTTCTCTGAGTATCAGCATTTTTGGAAGATAAGCTTAGGGAATGGCAATTATTCTGCTGGAGTCTTCGGCACTGAGTTTTTGCGAGTCCTTCTGAGGTCTGTTTTTTATTGGCAAGTAACTGATATTGTCATTCTCTGCTGGATACTACGTTGCCTCACACATCAACATTTCTTGTAGTGTGCAAAGCTCTGTTGGGAGCGAGTGGGTGGTATGGTGTGCTACTTCTAAAAAAACCCAAGCAAAGCAAAAAAAAAAACCCTAGAGCAACAACAAAAAACACCACCCGATGGCACATGGTGCACGCAAAAAACATGCTTAAGAGCTAATTATCCTAATATTTCTTATTACAGTATGAGGAGTCTGCTCTTGTTTTTAGGGAAATAAGCAGAGATTCTTAGTTCTGATTACATTGACTTCCCAGTTGACTTTAAGCATCATGTGAAAAGTATTAGTATATTCTCTGTTCACCCACAAAATAATAGCCTGGTAAATCCTAGAATGTTTGTCAGTATTGTAATTCAAATATAGAGCTGGACACAGCAGGGATTTTTCCTGAGGTTTTGGGAAGTGAGAATATACAGGCATGCTATCACAAGGTTTGTTAAAGATCATGAGCATACAATCCAGAGAAGACCACACAAACTCTGCTTCAGGATGTTTTTGTTTTCTGCCTGTCAACAAATTTACTCTGCTATGAAGATTTGTCATAATGAACTAATAATGTTACTTTGTGTTCTGTATGGAAACTATGCACAAAGAGAACAATAAAATCTGAAAGCTTATTTTAAGGCAGTAATGTAAGTAAATGCTGTGCTAAAGGTTTGTATTTGCGACTTGTTAAAATGGAAATGGCAAAACAAAAAGGAAGAGCAGGTGAGATAGGTTTGTTTTTTTTTTTTTATGGAATATAGCACTATGTCTTGAATTTAACTCTAGTACAGAGGCTGTAACAACCTTAATCTTTAAATGCATTTATGTCAGAATTGTTCATATTTTTAGAAACAAGTCCCCCCATTATGTCAAAGGTCTAAAAGTAGAATAAAAAGAAATTAAAACCTGATTTCCTTAGCTTTTTCAGTTTGAGCTCTGTAGTTGACTTTTTACAATCTCTTTTTTTTTTCGTATTTGTTCTCTGACACGTGGTGGTCTTATGAATGAGTTTTTAAGCCCTTGTAAAGCTCTAAACTGATAATGTTACTCTGATTCAACTGACCACTTAAGCATGTGCACATGTCCTCTACTGGCTCATGAAGTGTCCATATTTATTAGAATGACCCACTGAATCACTGCTACTAAACAGATGGACTTTCCAGTTTTCACACCTTCTGACTTTCAAGTAAAGCTGTATATTTTTAATACTTGATGGAAATTGATATGCCAGGACCATAAGGTTTGATTGGCAGGTACTTCTCTGGGTTCCCTCAGAGCAGCTGGATGCTCTGTGGCTGGGAAGGAAAACCAAGTTTATTATGACTAGGTGAAAGGCTTGCTATATTTGTTTCTAGTGTTCTATTTCTGTCAGAACCCCTGACAAACTTACCATTTAGACTTGATGGATACTCAGTAAAAAAGGCAGGGGTTTTCCACAGGTGTGAGTTTATCCAGATACTTTCTTAGGATTACTACTGATTTCTGGTCCATCATGTTTGTTCTAGTAAAGGATTGATTTAATCTTGCTTGATGTGACTCAAAGAAACTTATCCCTTAATGGCAAGCACAGAGTAAAAGCTAGGGATCAAAGCAGGGATTTTTATTTTAGTTACCAGTAATGAGTTGCCCACAGAAGGATGTAGTTCCCCATGGTTTCCCAGTGTTTGTTCCCCTGCTTGCTTAAATGGTCTTCATTATATACCTAGTTAGAAAGGGGTCTGGTTTATTTGGCTTAATTGCACTGGCCTATAGGAGCAATAGTTGTTTGGTTTTTTTTTTTTTTTTTTGAACACAGCAATTTTAAGTAGTTGGAAGAAACAGAAATAATAATTAATGCTTTTTTTACTGTATAAGCTGTTAGGTTGTAAGTTAGCCCTGCATACGGAAGAGTATATTGAGAAAGTGCTGGTAAAATGAAGTACCTGATTTGTAATCCGTGATTTATAGTATTTTGGGGTATTATTAACAGTGTTACTAATTCCATGTAATTTTACATGTAGGATGAGTAAGTTCCATGACCAGGGCATGAATTGGATGAGGCATATCCATAGCCATGATAATAAGATATGGAGAGACTAGTAATCTCAGCTGATGAGAAATATCACCTTTTATAAGTTGTCCTGTGGTTTTTCTTTTGAGCAATGGATGATGGATATTCAGTAACCCTCCTGAACTTGCCCTCAGATTCTCATCTGTCTCTGTAGGGGGGAGTAGTTGGGCTCTGGCCTTTACCCTCCTTTGGGTCAGGTGAAAAATGAGGGTGTTTCCTCTGAAGGTGCCCCAAGTGCAAGAAAGGGAATAAGGGCAAGGGAGTTCTCCCTTGGTTTCACATAGTGAGAGAAGCATTTAATCCTGTGTGTGCATTCAGGAGAAGGACAGGGGTTAATTCTGCACTTGAGAACAAGAAAAATGTTTAAGCAAGACTGAGAGGAAGCAGTAAAGGAAAAGTAATGACATTCCAAGATCCCAGGGGCAGAGACTCTTGGGATAAAATTCTATTATTGATAACATTACCCAAAATGTATCTGTTATACCGTCCTTGGAGTTTCTGTGAATGTTGTCACTGCACAGTAGTGTTGAACTAGATAAAACAGCTTTCTTCCCAGAAGACTTACCCTTGTTTTCCCAGCACTGGTCTCTAATGGTTTAAGCACAGTCATCTACTTTGTGTTAGATTTTCAGGTACAGTGTAAATAAAGAATGCCATGAAGTCATAAATCTAATCCCTCACATTTTAATGGGGAAACAGGGAATTATGCAGTCATTCTTTTAAAGAAAAAAGTGCAAAAGGTAATCTGTGTCTGAAATGGCTGAATTGTGTTCTCTGTCACACTCATTAACTTAACCTATAAGTTTGCCTCCAGTTTGGGGCTAGTTTTCTAGTGAATCAGAGTGAGATTGTTTGTTTTGATTACCATACTAATGAGTGGGGTGAGAGAAAATGAATTGTAAAGCAACTTTTCCTCTTTCCCCCTACCCTTCCCTTTGTGTGAAAGTGGTCTGATTCTTTTCCCACCTGTTTGGCCCAGAAAAGTTGTATTTGGGTTACAGTTGGGAAGGCTCTATCACAGCTGCTTTGGGCACATCCATTATGTAGGACTGTGTGGTAAAGAGCTGAAGTCTGCTCTGAAACAAGATGTGTTCCTAGGCAAGCAGACACAGCTTTTGCTCATTTGTGACTCAAGTCAGTATGTCTGCACAAGGTGCTGTTAATACCTTAACTCATGTCTGTGCCACTTTGGGTGCATGTATACTGTGCTCTGTTGCAAGGTCTGGAGATACCTTGTTCTACTTTGAATGCACTTTTCTTGTATTAGGAAGAAACATTTTCTTTCTGTTTTTTCTTCAGGCAACAAGAGCTTCTCTGACTCAACATTGCACTAGTCTGGGGGAGTCACTGGGCAAGGAAAATGATATTGCCCTGATTATTGATGGCCACACACTGAAGTATGCCCTTTCATTTGAAGTCAGGCAGAGCTTTCTGGACTTGGCACTCTCCTGTAAAGCGGTCATTTGTTGCAGGTAAGGAATTCTGTGACTTTTTTTAGGTAACAAAATGGGTATGAAGCCTGTGAAATTCCTAGTATGCACACTACCACACTTAAGTATGCTGGAGAGCAGCTTGTTTTGTAATGGCTTTCTTCTTCCTATGGAGGAGGAAGCATGTCCTTCATTAAAATTGTGTTATCAAATAGTACAATTCCCTCTGCCAATGTCAGTCCCAGCCAAGTCCAGTCTCTTCTATAAAGTGATGAAAGATCATGAGAAAACATTTTGCCTGATTGTCTGATTATAGTAGACACTGATGAGAAGGAGTGGTATGGATGTCATTTGGAATAAAAATGTTTGTGTGACTGTTCAGCTCAGCTCTAGAGAAGGTCTCTGGATGAATTTAAGTCTTGACTTCTAGTTGTGTATTGTATGAGCATGTGATAACAGTACAATTTGCCCTATTAAAATTCTAGACTACTGCTTGCTTTGCTAAGTCACAGCAGAGTTTGTTGCTGCTTGTGGATATAGCCATACACAGATATGGTCCTATGTTGTAACTACTTCAGAAGGAAGGAAATAAGAGCCCCAAGAAAATGAAAAGCAAAAGCTGGCTCACTGTACTTTTTGTGTAGCAGGAAGGCTGCATCATTTTTTGCTTTGAAAGATTATGTGGCTTTGAGGATTGTGCATGTTTGTGCTCATTGCTGGTATTTGGGGAGACCTGTGACCCAGGAGAGGTTGTTGATTTAGGCAGGCAGGAAATTTTATTTGCATTCTAGAAGCAAGACCTGCTTTGTGGGAAATGACTATATGGAGACATTGTACTACTTCTTTTTGCAGTCTTACTTGCCTTTTATGTGTGCACTTTTGTATAAGTATCGCATGGCAAAGGCAGTGCTGTCCATGTACCTGAAATAGCTGAACCCTTGGGGTTTTTATCTGACTAGTTTCTTTCCATTTGTTTGCTGGACTGCTGTACTGCATGATACCAGGGCTAGAGCTGTTCCACGTGTTCATTAATCACTTGATGATTAGATAGAATATGTCCTCAGTGAGTTTACAAATTATATGAGACTGAGGAGTGATTGATAATGCTGAGAGCTTGGCTGCCCTTCTGAGGGATTTCAATCAGCTGAAGAATTGAGCAGTGAAATCTCATGAAGCCCAAGAAGGGGCAATGCCAAGTCCTATACCTAAGGAGTTACAGCCCTTTATACCAGTAAACTGTGAGAGTAGCTGAGCTAGAAAGCACCTGTGTCCAGAAGGATCTTGGGGACCTTGGTGGACAAGCTGACTGTGAGCCAGCAATGAATCCTAGTGGCAAAGCAAAGACTGGTGTTACCCTGGGCTGCAGTGTAAAAAGCATTGGCAAAGGTTGAGGGAGGTGATCCTTCTGCCCACTGGTGAGGTAACTTCTGGCATGTTGTGTCCAGTTCTGGGATCCTTCATATAAGATGGAAACAGATTTAATGGAGAATCCAGTGTGGGACCATGAAGATGATAAAGGGGCTGGAGCATCTGTCATATGAGGAGAATCTGAGAGCTGTAAGTGTTCAGCATAGAGAAAAGGAAGCTCAGAGGGATTTGTATCAATTTGTATGAACATGGAATAGAAGTGAATGAAGATGAGGGAGAAGGCTCTTCCCTGTAGTGTTCAGTGACAGCAGTTTTTCTTCTGCTGGTTTTTTTTTTGTTTGTTTTTTTTTTAATTTGGGCAGGGGGCTAGAAGAAGGAGGCACAAAGCCTTAGAGCAGAGGTCTCATTTCTGCAGCTGTTTCATGGAGTGACAAGTGTTTTACAGAAGAGAGCTAACACAAGTGCAGCCATCTTCAGAATGCAGCAGGGCCCGATGTGGGGGCAGTAAGAGAGTCAAGGTACCTTGGGCTTTGAGAGCACCAAGTGCCTGGGAAGGGAACTGACCCTGTGTTCTGCTCTGTTTGACGGGAAGTTAACAAACACAGAGCAGATAGAAAGCTCCTGCTTTTCTACTCTATCACAGTGCTTTGGCAGAGATCCTTCCAAGGCATTTTGTTGGTTTATTTCTCAAAGATGTGACAAGCTAAACCAAATGTAGCTGAAACAAATCATAAACTGCAATTTATTAAAATTACACATAAAGTGTATGTAATTATCTGAATGTAACAAATGGTCCTGTTTTGCCAATAGGCATGCAGTACTGGACATTTCCTCTTTCATTATTTCATGAGGGGAGCCAACAGGAGTTTTATTTATTAACGAATTAGCAAATTGAGGAACAATGCAGAAAAAATACTTTAAAGTATAAATCAAAGGGGAAGAGATGATGTAATTTCATAGCTTAAAAGGAGGAATGAAAATAATTGAATTTTAAGTCCCCAGGGAAGTAGAGGAATGCTTTTAATAACCTTTAAGGCTTTTCAGGAACCTTCCAGTCATTTGCCAGGTGTTTGATACTGAAGCAAGAAAAACTTTTTTTCTTTTTTTTTTTTTTTTAATGCTCCAGGTTGTTTTCGCTAGTACTTTGGGTGTCAAATGAGGCAGTGCACTTTTACTTCACAGGAAGAAGTTTTAAAATGGAATTGACAGAGAGGACATTTCAAATTACAGTTAGTCCTCAAACAAGAATGTTAATTGGGAGGGGGATGTGGCTCTTTAACTTAGTGCTGTGATGTTTAACTGCAGTAGGAGGAGTTGCCTTGCTATTCTCAACATTGCATACATTGCATAAATTTATGGGACTTAATATTTCATAAATTTGCTAAAACATTTTCATCTTCTCTGGGGAGTTTCAGCTGTGTTTGCTGTTCAAAATTAAAAAAAAAAATTAAGACATACTGTATATTCATTTTCTGGGCTTTAGGCATAAACTGTAGTTGAACTTGATTCTCAGGGGTAACCCCTTAATATGAAACTGTAGTAAACCTGGCTCCTTTTTGCATTAAGAGAGAGAGATGGTATCTTCTGATGGGGTTAAGTCTTCCACTGTTATAGTGTCTCTAGCAGGCCACTGGCACAGTGGAGAAAAATATACCCCTCAGGAGACTTGGTAAAGCTACCAAATTCAAATCAAACAACTCTTTAAGAAAAAGCCTTGTTTGTTAAAAGTTTTTCCAGAGGCTGACAGATCTTATTATCTTTCCTTACACTGACTGGCATGTCAGTATGTCAAGAGCAAGCAAAACTTATTTTTCAGTGGAAGTAAATGTTATTTGGAAGGCAATTGAACTCATGACTTCATTTATGAGATCTGAGCTAATGATTGCCTGTCTCTGGTTTTCAAGTGTTCTTTTAGTGGACCTGTTTTTAGTGATGTTTTGTGAGACACAAAATGTTAAGGCTTGGGTAGAAGTGAGATTATTCTTTTAATAACAAAATGGAGTGTTATCATTCATCTAGTATTTATACACTAGCTGGTAGGTACAGCATATTGCTGCATTTGGCTTTGAATATACAAGTAGCAGAGAAGTATGTAAGTTGTGTTATGGCATTTAATATTTAATTATTTAATATTTTAAAAATTCAATATAATTTTAAATTCATATTTAATTATCTACTGAAGAGCCTGCCTTGAATTGGAAGTATTTGTAGTTGAATTAATGCAGTGTTTCAGAAACACATTTTTATGACTGCTTTGGGAATTTTTTGTTATTGTTAAATAGAACTTCTTTGTAGGTGGCAGTGATTCTGCCTTTGTATGGGTTTAATGTCATATTAACAAGATAACCATCAAGAAGAACCAATCCATCAGCATTTAAGAGATTAAATAATTCTAAGCAGTTTAAGTACTTCAGTAGTTAAAATTAATTGTTGGACTGCAGAAGTAGTCCTTCACTTAATTTCTTTCACAGGTGTAAGCACAACAAAACAAGCATCTCCAGAGAGATGTGTAGCATAAGACTGGGAACCCATCCCATGCTGGGATGAAAAAGAGTCTCTGTCTCAGTGAGATTCTTTTCTCTTCTGCTTGTATTACTGACCATTTCTGCAATACTACTTGAGGTGATGATGCTGGGGATGTTGTTCCTTTTCTGTAAGTGTACTTAGATCCTGTAGCTTTTCAGCTGAGTGAATAGTGAGTTGATGCCCTTCTAGGAGGGGTTTCAGGTAATAGGAAAATAAACAAAAATATCTCAATTGCTTTACAGTCCATCAACTTTTTTGCTATACTTTGATCAGATGTGTTCTGCACAGGTGTCTATAAAGTGGTGCAGCATGAACAGAAATTGAGAAAATCCAGCATCAGTAATTGCCATGGACTATCTGCTATTTCCACAAGGGCACTTGCCATGTCATGGCTACTACATCAGGATGATTTTGCTTGGTTTTAGGTGTGAAAGATGTGTGCAGTTGTTGCTCAAGCCATCTGAACACTGACTTTGGAGGGCTTCTGCCCAACCTCACTAGCTGACTTTAGGTGGTAGTGGCAGAAACTATTGCTTTCAGTACCTTGAGCAATATTGGAGCTGTAGTGATAATGGTTAGGAGCTGAGTTAAAAAAGAAACAAGATGAGAAAATGTATGTTTTTTAACCAACCTCTCAGCAACAGGAAAACCCTGTTCTACCTGTATTGCTGTTGTGTATAACATACAGGGAGGCTGGGGTGAGGACACAAACCCAACAGGCATCACTCTGAGAACAGACACTAAATGTTCTGAAATAAACCTACCCTTTGACTAGAGTGTGTCTGCTTGGGTGTTGGAAGGGGTTTAATGAATTGAAAGCAGAAGGTTGGAGAGGGGAAGGCAAAAAGCAGTTTATGAAAAGTACGTGTTTCTAATTGTTAGTTACTTCATCAGCTAAGGAGAGAGGAGAGATGAGGAGCCAAGAGAAAAGTTATCTCAATACTCCAAGTTGTAAAGCTATAGCTGGGGTGCTTCTGGTCTTCCATCATGATTTGGAGGAGACATTAATAACATAGCTGACAAAATGAACATCTGGAATACTTCTTAAATATTTATTCCCCCAACTCGCATATTGTTGCTGGTGTTAGTATTTGACAAAATGATTATTCTGTGGTTCAGTATGTATTTATTTATTGAATCAAAAAGTA